ACCCCTGGTTACAGATCGTACGCTGTAGGCTGGATATTCAATTTAAACAGTTTTATCATTGGACGTATCACTCATGCTGACCAATACAATTTGCATCTTAGACACTATAACTTTGAAAAAGCGCCTGATCATAGTATAAAATTAACCTCATGTTCACGCTGTTCTTTGCATAACCTGAATGCACCTCCAACTAACAAATCATACTGTCGTGTCAGTATCCCTCATGTATACTGTGCAGCATTTCACAATATTTATTATGACAGTTTTAATTTGACAGCGTTATCAGCTGATGCTCTGAATGAACAAGCATTGACTTGTGCAATTGCGTTCTCTCAGCCCAATATCTTAAATAGACCATCTTCTTTTCATCCCCCCACTTATAATTTTTGTATAGATAGATTTATCCCTTCTTCACATAAAGAAGAATTACTAACACTTTCTACTAATTTTGTTTTTGCTACTGAATTAGAATTTTATACAGATGGATCCCTTATAAACATAGGCCTTTCTTCAATCAAGATGGGGTTTGCTTAGCTACAATCCCACCAAAATTTGTCCATAGTTTCCTTCAGCACTGCTTTGACCTCTAGCTTTCCATCATCATCAATACCTGAATTTGCAGCCCTTTTTACAGCACTTCTGACTGCTCTTTCAAATTGTAAAGTCAGAGTCTATACTGATTCAGCTGTTATAATATCACAGTTCAACAAAGTTAGTTTCCTTAAGAGACAGTCTCCCACCTTCAGGCCTTTTCTGAAAATTAACAATTCTGTGCATTGGTCTTGTCTTTTCAAAGTGATCTCTGTGCATAACCTGAACATCCATTTGATAAAAGTCAAAGCACATTCAAACAATCTACTGAACAACAAAGTCGACGCTATGGCAAAAGACGCTCCCACCCTTTCAGTCATGCAATTTAATACAATATTTGCTCTACAAAGTTTTTTTAACTACAACAATCAACCCATCCTTTTACCGATTAGGCAACTTATAAAAGACATCTTCTGTCAAAAGCATTTTCAGCAAATTTTATCATTGCATGTACTTAGCAAATATCAACCTTTCTTCAAAATTAATTGGTTTGTTACCTTCTTCTGCCTTAATGACAAATATCGCTACCAATAACACTTCATATGTAGTCTCTACTACAAGAATGAAAAAGTTTCAACGTCTGCTGGAAATGCTTCCTACAATTGAAATCCTGAAAAATAGACATCTGTCTCTTTTTCCATCCTTAATACTATGCCCCTGATGTGAGGCTGCAGACGAAGACTTCCTTCATATATAGACCTGTCCGATAATTGACTATCAACTGAAGTTGCTCATACAACGAGCAAAAAACTACCTTAAAGACATCACCAATGCTTAATTGATCGATATTGACAATCTTAATTGGTAGAACCTTTCAACCTCCTTCTTCTTTGTGGTTCTCATTAAAGGTATTGTTCCTACCACCCTCTTTGAACTTATTCACAATAATCTTCCGCATATGCCTACCGTGTTATCCACATATTCATCTTTCATGCATTTCATTTATGAAGAATCACAACATTTTGGATTGATAGGTGTAATCATCAATCTGCTATCGAGAAAGCTGCAAACATTAACCTAAAAAATAAATTAGATAACTTCATTTCTTTAGGTTTTGATCTTCCATATGGTATTCCTACCAACTATAATAACGCTGATCCAATAAACACCATGGTGCAACTTGGATCCCACTGGACGAATTTTTGGTGCAGTAGTGGCCAAGCCCTCTCCTGTTTTACTTTTTGATTATACTCAGAAGTGATAGTTTTAGCTTAGGTTAGAATTGATCTGGGGGAGTGCAGGGTCGGTCTTCTATAGTTTAGTTTTTCTTTTCTGTACGAGATTTTCATTTTTTCTTCTTGATTTGTATTTTACTTTATATTATACTTTTATCATAATAAAGATTATGTGGAACTACCGTACTTTAAAAAATAAAAAAAAAAATATTTAATATAAATAGTAATATAATAAACAATTATTAATTTATTTAATTAACTTTATTATTTCTAATTTAACGATAATAAATTATTCAAAAAAAATAATTGGTTGACCTAAATTTTATCAGATCAAGTCAGGTTAGATCAACCTATTGACCTAACCTGATATCAACCTGAAAATCTATTGACTTGATCTGAATTTTCAGGTTAGTTCAGGTTAGGTAAACAGGTTGATCTGATCTAATTCAAAGTTCTAACAACACATAATATCTCAAAAATTTACGATGCATAATACTTTGAAGGTTTATAATAAGTAAATTTATGAATTTTATTATTAATATTCTAATCAATAGTAATTAATTTAATAAACTTTAGTAAATCATTATTCATTTGAATTATACTTTAAATTTATTAAAAATTCATTAACGTTATAATTTATTACGTTAAATAAGTAAATTTTCTTTTTTTATTAATTAGCATTATTATCATATTTTAAAAATGTTAAAGTAAAAAAATTTGGTAAAAATAAATCAATAATATATAAACTTACGTAACATTAATAAAATACTAATTATATTAAATAAATATGACTTATATTATTAAATTAATTCTTCAATTTCATCATTATATTTAATTACATTATAAAAATGTTTATTTCTTTTCATTAATTCTATTATAATCATTGGAGAACCTTATCTATATAGTTGAAAATGAATTAAACAAAAATAGTTAAGTATTTTTATCAATTTTAACTATGAAAATCTATTTTGCATATATTTTTTTAATTAATTATATTAATTTATAATTAAATAAATAAAATTTAACAAAATATTTAAATATTTGTACCAATCATATGAAGCAATTTACCAAACAAACAGGTATTTAATCATATGGGAGGTTTGCAATTAAAATCACGTTACGGATCATATGATTTAATAGCAAACCTCCCATATCTCAAACTTCTATTTTGGTTGTATAATACTTTATTAAATATAGATTTAAGTAAATGCTTCTACTGAATCTGCAAGAAATACAAAAAGCATTGAAAGGTAAATACCTGAAGTTGAGAGAAAGAATCGTAACGATTCTACCAAGGGAACTTAAAAGAGCTAAAACTGCGGTAAAATTAATGAGAGCTTAGCTGATCATGCTCAAACTTTAATTTTATGATTTTTAACGTGACCTCGCCTTTTTCGGATGAATACATTTAAAGCTTTAACATTAGAAGAAAGCTTGCCGTTTGTACTAGTCTTACTGATCTATAGCAGGCAAGCAGACAGTTTACATTAGGAGTTAAACGATCTCTTGAAGCATAGAAAACCAAATACTAATGCTGTCACTTTTTCTAGTTAAACTGTCCTGTTGGAAGCATAAGGGATTTATAAAGGTATGTTCGTTCACTTATAACAAGGTTTAGTGGTATATAAAATAAGCCATAGAGGTAACAAAATGAATCAACTAGGATAGTTCTCTGCTTTGAATTCTTCGTTGCGTTCAAAAAGACTTTAGGAATCGAAACATTTGCTACACATAAGGTATAAACTTAAAAAGAAATCATAGCATACAACGAACATACTTTCAATGAGTTTGATATAGGTTGCTGCGGTTGTTTCACAACATCACTTTGTTTGAGTCTAGAATTCAGATTGAAAAAATAAATGGAAATATTTCTCTGATAAGCCCATTTGCAAATCTTTCAGGTTTACTAAAATAAGAGTTGCAGATCTCTAATTTACTATTTTTTAATGTTGATATTTGTTTCAAAAAAAAAAAGAACGAGAAAAGAACCAAAGAACCCCCCATTGTACCTCCTCCTGTACGGTAGCGATCAAGGCGTAAAAATTTTTTGAAATATTAAAAAATTTTCCAGTTTAATTTTCGCCGAATATAAAAAAATTTTATTTATATATCTTAATTTTAAAAAAAAAAAAAAAAAAAATTCCGGTACTTAATTACGCCAAGATTTTTTTTTTTTGTTTCAAATAATCAAATATTAAAATATATATATTTTTTTTTAATATAGGATACTAAATTGGTCAGATATCACTTTTTTTTTTTTAGAAAAATAATGTTCTACTATTTTTTTTTAATTACGCACAGAACAGATTACAAGAGATTACACATGGATTACGATGCACATTGATTACTTACACAAGTGAATTTTGTTATTTTGATTCTAGAACTTTAGGTTACCATGTTTTTACATCATTCATTATATTTATATTTATTTAATTTTATCTTTAAACAGCAAGGAAGATTTTTTTTATTATGATAACTAGGCTTATATAAAGATTATTTAATGTTTTCAACCTTTGCAGACCTTTATTTAGTGGAACGATTCAATAATTAGGTAATTAAATATATATATATATATTTTTTTTAATATAACGAATTCTCATCTGAGATCACCTGATTGTCCGACAACGGGATTTATCTTTTATTATATAATTGTTTTTATAATAGGGTTAGGGCACGATTACTAATTATACGCGATATTTAATAATCTTCTTGAAAGATTTAATTTGATTTGATAATGCCCGAGAGGAGGTAGTTACAATTACCATGTATGTATGATATCACGGAAAAATTGATATTATGATAAGGAGGACGAATAATTTGTTTCGATACACAAATGGTGTGGTTATTGAATGAAGAATGTACAGTATCCAGACAAAGGATTAGATTATGACTCTTTAACAATAGTAATAATTTATTAAGAACAACAAAAATTAAAAAAAACTTAATTCAAAATGGTATACAACGATATCTACTGTACATAATAACAATACAATACAACTATTAATTTAAAATTAATTTATGTATTTATCGTAAACATCTTAAGAAAGGTAATAATATCAAGGAGTGAGTAAAAATTTGATTGGATCTCACATTTCTTTATTTCTTTAAATGTTTTTATTATTCATGAAATTTTCCGGGTGTATTACGAGGAGAAATTAATTCATATATAAAGAGATTGCTTGTCGACAGGTTTATGTTATCAAATTACCCAAAAATTCTCCTCGTTGAATAATCATGTCGTATTCCATGCAATATTTTCCGTATCAACTTTGTGATTTTAATCACGAAAATCTTCCTGATAAATACTCTACTATTGTTAACAAAGTTATTTCAAAATATATCAGCGAGGATACCTTGCTCAAGATCGAACAGAACACCGTATTGTCGCTTTATGATCTATTAACGCCAATAGAAAATCATCGTACCTTGAAGATACCGAGACCGCAAAATTCTTTTGTGATATATCGAAGGAATTTACAAGCTAAAATGGCTATCTGTCAAGCAACGAGTCTTGAAAGGCTAGACAAAATTTCCAAAATTGCTGGTACAAGATGGAAAGACGAACCAAAGGAAGTTAAAGACCTTTTTACGCTTATCGCTGATTGTGCAAAGAAGGTTCATAGTCGTATTTATCCCGGCTACGTCTATAATCCGAGGAGAAGTTGTTTAACCAAGATGTCAATGACTCCTACAAATTATCGTGCCTTATTAAATGTTCGTTGGAAAAATCATTTAGGAATAAAACTTTCGTCACCTTTACCACAAAACTGCCCGAATGAATTAACCCCTGAATCTCAAAGCTTGAACTTTCCACAATCTGAAATCATTTCACTTAAAAAAACCTTTTCACCTCTTGAAATTACGCCAAATTTTATGAATTCTTACGATAATGACATTCGCAACGTTCTTAACAAAAATATGCAAGTATTTTTTCATTAAAGCAAATAAAACATTTATTCTCAATATCATTCCATTCTACCTTCCGAACTACCCTAGATTATTTTTTTTTTTAATAAGATTTTAAGATAGTTAAAAATTTTTTTTTTTAAGATTGACTCTGTAGGTTTTTAAATATTTATTATTAGCAATTACAAAACAAGTTATTTTTTATGTTATAACAATTATAATTTATATAAATTTTACAATTTTATGTGATAAAAGTGGTTAGTTAATTTTTATCATATGAATATTCTTCGACCCCAAGAAATGTTAAATAAAAACGATAAAACGATTTTTAGAATATGGTTACACGAACTTTTAATTGAAATTGTCCTTTTTTTTTTTTTTTTTCTCGTGTTTATAATTATGAAAACAAAATAAAATTGATTTGCGCTATCTGACGATCAATAAAGTGGGATTCCCGGTTCATTGTTCGGAGCGAAGCGAACAATATATGTCTATGCACTATAAAAAAAAAAAATGTTACGGGACTAGTGCATTTCTCTTTCCGCACACGTGATCGTTCATCATCATTTTATTTTCACAACGCAATTATCCGCTTAACTGATGATTTGTTTTTTTATAACATAAAAAAAAAATGAAAAAGGCTGATTAATTCAACTTTATTATAATAATAATCTATAAAGTTTTATGGTAAAATTAACGTGTATAATAGAAAATAGACATTTTACAATAAATCTTTTCATCTTTAAATAAAGTTTTAAATATTTTATATAGTTAATTTTTTATTTTATATAATTATTAATTATATCAAATTGATCTTTAATTTGAATGATATAAAAAAAATTAACAGTAATATAAATTTTATTTTATACTATATATTTAGTTCATTTAATTTATAATAATTAAATCTTTAAAATCATATTCTATATTATAATTAAATTTTATTTAAATCATTGCTAGATATGTAATAATATGTAATAGTAAACATTATAGCATTAGAAACAATTGAAAAGTATACCATTTTATAAATTTTAATTTATTAAAAATGAACAGTAATTACCTGTAATACAATTTATAAAATATATATATTTACAATTATTTGTAAATAATTATTACTTTATTTTTAATATTTAATATTTACTTTATATAAATACTATAATACTTTTCGTTAATAATAATAATTAAAGATATTACTAAAAAAAAAAATAGCATAATCTTATCACAACTCATAGTGTAATTTAATTTATTAAAAATATTCTTTAATAATAATAATTTTAAAATTTATTGAAATTGGTTTAACTAATTTCAGTTTTTGAAAATTTTATCAATTTTATCATAAATTTCATTATATATAACTCATATAACTTGACTTTTAAAAATAATTATTTAGAATATTATAATATTGATAAAAATGATAAAAAATATTAGTAAAAATAATGCTTTTATATCCTGTATATTTTAAAATCTTTATAAAAAAAAAAAATCATAAATAAAGTTACTTTCTACTTGTAAGATTATTATTAAATAAACAAAAAATATACATTAAATCAATTAATAGGTATAATTATTAAATTTTAATCTTTTATCTTTACTTTTTATAACTTTTTAAAACTTGAGAAAGCATATAATATTTTATATTATTTTTTTTACCAAGATTTTTTATTTGCTTTAAAAATAATAAATATAAGGTTTTATTTTATTTATTTACTATTTAATTGAATACAATAAAATTTTATTATTAAATGAATCAATCGGCCATTCACGTGAAAGTTGTCCCTTGGATTTTTTTTTTGCATCTCCCAAATTAAACCAATTATATTTTTAATTTTTTTTTTGAAAAAAAAGAAAGGAACGCGCGTGAATAAGAAATACGTTTCTCAAAAATTCATTGTGTTTTTTTTTTTCACCTCCATTGAACTTTTGACCAAGAGCCGAAATTTTCGGAGTTTTATTTGTGTTACATTAACTGATCTGCCAATCAAAAACGGTACTGAAAAAAAAAAATTTAATTATTTAATTCATAGGATCATTAAGCTCGTCAAGTAATTGGAAGAATTAAAAGAAGTGACGGTTTTGACAAATAAATTAGATACAATTATATGTATATGTATATTGAACCGAAAAGCCAAGGAGTTTGTCATTCTCGTGACTCGTACAAATAACGACTCTCTAAAACAATGCTTATGCTATTTATTTACATCGAGGGGTCTAACTCTATCGAAACGACAAGAGCGAAATTCTCAAACACTTATCTGTGAATAAAATTAATTTAATAATAAACAAAAATAAATAAACCAAACAAATTTTACCTTTTTGTTTACAATGAACTTTTTTTTTTCTTGTGAAATAAGTTTTTAAAACAATACGACGTGCAAATAATCTATCTAATCAATGGGTTGTTTTCAAAATTGTAATGCGTTAATTTCTAAATATGGTCAAAATGATCTTATGAAACGTCCAATGTATTAGTACTGTACCAAATTTTGGGAAATTTTCTCGATGCCGAGTACGGAACGGTAATACATTTGTATGACTATGAAACGTCACAGAAATTAGCAAAGGTATTTTTCTTACATTCTTTATTCAATTTCCTGTTCTTTGAAGTCATTTTTGGGGGGGGGGGGAAACACAAAGGATTACATGTTTACTTCAAAATCCAATTGAACAAACATAAAAATTAACGAATCATACGATAAAAAATTGATGCTAGCACGACAAACAAAATTTGTGTAAATTGCGTTTTGAAAGATTTCCCTTTTTCTAATTGATTACATTGTATCTTCGGTTTCGAAATATAATCGCGCATATCAATCAATAAAAAATTTATTTTTAGTAAATTTGTTTATTTCTTTTTACCATCAAAATCGATCATTTTATCCTTTCATAAATTATAAGGAGATATTTTTTGAAAAAAAAAAAGTCATTTATCTAAACAATGGTTAGACTAAATGTATAATTATGTGGTGTATTAAGGCGGTATACTTAAGAATCACAAATTGTGCAAATCGAATAAATACTTACAGTAAATCAATTCTATAAATGTATAAATTTTTTGTTAATGTCTTAAAAAGTAGATATTTAAAAGTAAATGCATCTCTCTTTTTTTTTCACTTGATAACCGATTTTTTTCCCTTTCAACTTCCGCAATTTAATCATTTAGGAGGAAAAAGATATTTGCAATTCTAGCGTATTAAAACTGATAGCGACATTTGAGCCATCTCATGATTTATCAATAAAAGATGATAATTTTTTGAACGCAACAAAATAAAGAAGGAAAAAAAAAAAAAAAATTAAAAAAATATATATATATATATATATTTTTAAAAAAATAAATAATTGAGACTAGCCTTCACATCATTTTAGGTTTTATATTAGAAATATTATCATGACAAGCTTGTATCATCATGGAAGTATCATCGTAGCTAATTTAATTATTTTAATTCTTGGATTACCTTACGCAGGAGAGGCACTTTCCTTGCACTTCAATAATAATAATTATTTAAATTGGAGTTTACTTGTTAACAATATTCATGATCATAATAAATTAATTTATAATAAAGTACAATTTCAACAAGAAGATAACGTCGAATTATATTCTACATTCCCATTTGATTCGCGAACCGGATACCTGGTCGTCATCATTTCATCTTATTTAGCATTATACTTCAACTTTGTCGGAACTAGTTATGTTCTTTACAGAAGTTATTACAGGCGGAGAAGTAACGGTGTCTCCTTGCCAATGACTTTGAGAGTTCCAATGTACATCGCCATAACAGATCTCTTTCTAATCCTGACACATGTCGTGAATATCTCACACATGGCAATAACCAAAACCCTATGGAAGGATTCATATTGCAAGATAATTGGTGGGTTGAACAACTTTTTTCAATGCATGAACATGTTCTTGGTGGGGGGAGTGGCGGTCACGACGTTTCTACGTGTAAAGCGAGGACGTTTCTTCAGTTTAGGAAAGTATGATTACAAATTATTCACCGGGATGATATCTTTGTCTTCGTTAATTACCATCATATTTTACAAATCTTATGGACCAAATAATTACTGGTGTGGGGGTGAATTTTCCGATAAAGTCCTGGCGATATCCTCGTTATGCATCATAAGCGTGGTGATGTTGGTTAGTTTATATTGTTATATAAGCATCATACGTGAGATGAGATCCATCAAGATTGAAGAATGCTTCGAAAATTCGAACATACCTGAAGAAATTGCGGTCCAACGCAAAGAAACGAACAAGCGCATTTACAGTAAAATTTCAAGTTACATATTGATCTTTATCATACAATACGTTCCCGTTACCATCTATAACATTGGACATATCATACGTGTCAAACATTATTGGGTCTACGTCGTTTGTGATATTGGAATTAATTTCGGAGGCATAGGAAATTTCATACAGGTAGGTTAGTTTCCGAGAAACGTAAAAAAAAAAAAAATTCGAAATTACTTCAACGCTAACTTTATTTGTAAAATTGTAGTACACAATCAATGAAGGATGGAGTGATGATATACGGGGGGATACAAGTGACTCGTATGGATTAAATCCGACAAATTTTCGATACACTTACGCGGGCGGTCGACAGTCCTCTGTCAACAATGATAATTCCATGAATTCAAATTTTGATGGTGTAGTTGATTCTTTTGGTATTATACGCCCTTCTCCTCAGAAGAACAGATGAGTTAAAAAGGAGTCAAAGGTCTTGAATTTTAAAATAGTGAATGCCTTTTCACTTTGTAAATATTTTGTGTAGAAAAAAGAAAAGAAAAAAGAAAAAAAGAAAAAAAGGAAACAAAAAAATCCTCAGAGAATGAATATTACTATAGAACCGCGTTAACAGAAGACGTGAATTGGATTATATTTAAACCGCACAAAGTAAAAAACATCCGAAAAAAAAATTATCATAAACATGACTTTTTTTTATTTACGGCGTGGAAAATCGTTATAGCTGCACAGCACAAACACGCTACATGCAATATCAATTGAAAGATTTTAGATAATTTTTTCTTAAAAATATATATATATATATATATATATCTCCTTTTTCCTTTACCTTTTTGCTAATAATGGCATTTCTTCGAGCATTAATATATATAATCTTTACTTATTGTAATCATTCTTTATCAATCCTTTTTCTCGTTATCAATTTTCAAGGAACCTTTATTAGCTAGAGCTTTCAAATCAATATTTTTCCCTACATTTTCATAATTAAACGGGCAATGTCTACATTTATTTCCGCAACAGTAACCTCTTGATTTATGATACAATTCTGTCATCACTGTATAACCTGTCACAGGATCGGCGTAAAGTTGTTGATCATTCTTTTTGTGGGTGGGAACATGTAATTATAGTAATAATATAATAATAATAATCTGTAATTTAATACCTCCTTTATTTAAAAAGAAAAATATTAAATAAAACAATAATAATAACTGTACTGTTACCTGAATTGCGATTTTGTGAGCTTCGTACCATTCCGGTTTATCTTCAATATCTTTTTGTTCTAAAGGTTTGGATTCTCCATTTTCATTACTTTCAGGGACCTCTTCCATTTTACCTTTGCAAGGTTTTGTAGAGTAATTATTAAAGAACAATAAATCTAATAATTTCTTCTGTTCCTTTTGTAATAATAATCTGGAAAGAAACATGGAAATGATACGATAGGCATATATACAATTATTTTTTTTCAAACATTGGGTTTTTATTTATAAAATGAAAATCGGGTTCGACAGAATCGGGTTTAGTTGTAGCGCAGGAAGGATCGTCAAATGTCCGGCACGGCATTATTTTATCGCGTAAAAAAGGTTTTTTATTTCATGCATGGATAAGCGCAAAAATAACGAATGAGCATATTTGACGTAAATTTATCTCGCACAAGAAATGCATGGTAATATAAAGAAAGGTATTTGATAGTTTTGTTTGTTTAATTCGAACATGATTGGTTATAACGAATATCAAAAAAAAAAAAAGATATTCAATGTTTACATACTTTGTATTTACATTCAATAATAAATAAATGAAAAAAAAAAAAAAAGATAAAAAATTTTTTTTTAAAAATAAAGAAACGTAAAAGAATACTACTAGTGATGATAAATGAAAAAAAAAAAAAAAAAAAAATTATGATTATGTTTCGTCTATGAATCTATATGAAAGAGAAGGAAAAAAAAAAAATCTATTCGTCCACATCCTAAATACGAGCAGATACAGCAGGCAAATAAATTGTACTATTAACCACCATTTGAACATTCTCTCTTAATCTTTGAAAAGCGTATTCAAAATGAGCTCTCATGACTATATTCCTTTGTTCCTCAAGAGTAAGGACGTGATCATCATGTTCGAGTGAACTATAATCTTGTTCCAAGATTTCAATATCGTGGGGTGTTGCGTTGACCAGTTCTTGAAGGGACACTTCGAAACGTTCACGTAATGCTTCAAGTTGAGTTGGGAACAAACGATGTTTATACAACCCAAGTAAACCGGAGAGGATGTTTTCACGATAATTTAAAAAGTCGGTGGCATTTCTTGACTTATAAGCAGCGATGTATTCTTCGCGAGATAAAATGTTATTGTTGATAAATGAAGTCATTTTAATTTTTTTTAATAGATTGGGTATATTTTTGATTTGAAATTAATTTTTTTTTTCTTTAAAAAAAAAGTACTTTGATTGATTTTTTTTTTGTTTCTTGTAATCTTTTTTTTAGATAAAGAGAAAGGCTTGAAATTTTGGACGTGCTTTTTATACATTTACAAAACAATTCAAACGACACTAAAATTGAACATATAAGGGAAATGTGTAACTCCGAGAAACAATCCACTATCTATGGATAAAAATGTTTTTATTTTAGGTTACAAAATGTCACTGCTTGCAGGGAACTAACCAAATGATTTTTTAAGTGGGTCCCTTTAATTTGAAATCAAAAATAGATAATTTAAAATTTGAACTTTCGCACGATTTGGTAATTATTTTATTTATTTATCAGCCTGCCTGTTACCCGAGAGGAGTCTAAAAAAGGGTTGATGAGTCATAGCGCGTGTTTCATTAAAAATAACGAAACATTACCAATTTTGTTTAAAAATGAAAAAAAATCAAAATTTTCCCACACTGGTATGCAGTGAACCCCCCTCCAATTATGGGACCATTCAAAAATTTCTTTGAATGAATCGTGTTTCTTGCGTTACGGGCCCCGTCATTCGCATCTATTTGTCGCGCCAATGCATATCATAAATATCCTCCTTTAGAATACGGATGTTGATACGATGTGACGTCTAATACATGTGATATGGTTGATCAACAAAACGTCAATAATGATGTAACACTACCTGTAATATTGCAATTTCCAACATTAGGGGTTTCACGACATTTGCGAAAAAGGATTTCAGTTAGTCTTAAAAAAATATTTTAAAATTTCAACATTCTTTGTTTAAAAACTTTTTTTTTTTTGATTTTACTAGGAATTTTTTTTTTTTTTTAGAACGTCTCAACAAGTATTTCACAATGAATTGCTAAATCATGATTCTTTGAACAATCTCATGCATTCAGCATTTTTGAGTAAGCATTTTTAAAAATTATTTCTTTTTAATAAATTAATTGTTCACGTAAACAAATAAACAGGGTTTTTTGAACCTTTGACACAAAATTTTTTTGAAACCTTACGATTGTGAGATCAAGGGGCACAGGCCCTGGAACATTTAACCGATTAACCCTGTATAGATTAATAAACTTTTTTCTAAATTTATTGAAATTTTTTTCAAGACATTTTCTTTCCCCCCTTTTTTGGGGAGAGGCTTGCTCTGATTACCAAAATCGGGAAACAATGATCTCAAATTGTCGTTTAAATCTCTTTTTCTTTTTTTTTTTTCGTCGCAAAAAAAAAAAAAAAAAAAATTCCACCACCCACTGGTATTAAAAAAAAAAATTTGATCAACCAAGTTGCCAAAAAAAATTTTTTTTTTGATCTCAAAAAGAATTTTTAATTAAAAAACATCATTCATCGAGTATCAAAAATTTTCATACGATAACCCGAATCATGATTACCATTTAAGTTCCAATCGACCCAGTGTATATATTGTTTCAAAACAATATATATATTTTTTTTTTCCTTTACCTTTTCACGTTCATATTTTTCGTGGGAAATCAATCAACTATTAAATCATCCATTATCCTGACGTAATCAACCCTTTTTTTGGAACGGATTTCAGGAACCGTGTCACTGAGTTTAAAAATTCCCCCCGATAAAAATTTTTTTTGTGCTCCCAAATGAGATTATCTCATAAAATTGTGTAAATTGTATGTATCATACGATTTTTCTTTTGAGAAAAAAAAAACATGATTGCCGTAGCGTTACACGGAGTTATTTTTTTCCTTCAAATCGCACCAATCTGACTTGCGAAAAAAAAAAATTTTTTTTTTCAAGATCGTTTGAAAGCTCCTCCCTCTTTCGACAATATTTTTTTTTTTTTTTTTTTTTTATCCGATGCACACGATGCATGTCCTAATCCTGGATGGATTATTCTAATTTTATTCTCCAGTATTTGGGTGTTTAGAAAAAAAAGAAAGTGAAAGGCAGATTCTTACCAATGGATGTTTTCGCTACACCAATTTAATTTAATTATAGAAATGTAAGTGTTATAACACTGCAGGGTTTGGTATCACTTACTTGATTTAAAATACACATTGCGGTACTTTTTATGTTGAAAGAAGTCTTTAACTTTTCCTCACGATTACGGGTTAACGCTGAAATTTCAACTTCAAAAAAAAGTAATGCTTAATGATTTCAGGTGCTTTCATCTAGTTCATTCAGAGGAAGGAAAGAAAGTAATTAATTAGAATTGAACTTCTCACCAACAACCTTCGATCGACAAGAAAATATTTTGGATCAACAAACGAACCCTTGCATGGAATAAAATCTTTAATTAGATAAAAAGGAGAGATTCACCAAAAGTTTATTATCCTCATTAAACAAAGGGGCAAAAGTGTGACTGTGGAATTTATTTTACCCTTTAAAAAAATTTTCAAAACATAAAACTTGATGATCGTGATCGACATGTATTGAAGCCACATTTTTTGAGTGGTTCAAAAAGGACAATTGCGTGACCCTCCCATTCATTTGTGACAAACCCCGATGACGAAGAAATTAAAAATTTATTTTGTGCAAACCGTGCACTAATTAATTGTTATTGTTTTTTTATTTTTATTTTTTTTCCTTGATTGGATAAATTATAATTTATTAATTATTATTATAATACAAAAAATAAATAGGTACAACCGATCTACAAATATCAACATCCTTTCCTAGCATAATATCTGTACAAATTATTAAAACTCTTATTCTTTTCAAGTTCCCCACTAATGCTATCAACTATTTCATCATATTCTTTTTGAGTAACCCCCAATGCGGGTATTAGCATGGGAGAGATTGCATGGTAAAATGATATGACGATTTCCTTGGAAATTCTTCCCGCCATATTTATTGAATCCGTTGAATCCATCTTCTCATGGTGATGTAATTGACAGGTTTCTTTTTGAAAATCCGTCAATCGATTCGAAGAGTAGGTCCGTAAATAATTATCCAGGTGATTAGTTATTTCGAAATTTAAATTATTTAACCTGCCATGATTGATAACTAAATGGGAGCAAGCCAGATAACAATTAATAAAGAAAGAATCATAAAAAAAAAAAAAAATTATGATGTTTAATAATGATACGTACATGCATCATGTAAAGGTATTAATTTTTTCGGCATATTTATGACTTCTGGTGCGATTTCCATGAATTCTACCCACCCATCTTTTTTGGTCACTCGCATCATTTCAGGTATCACCTTTTCCTTCCATTGAGTTTCGGTAAAGCACATGGAACAATTTTGCATGTAAACGAAGTCAAATTCATTATCTTTAAAAGGTAGTCCATCGAGAAGGTTTGCTTGTATGAAACTTAGGTTATGAGGCTTTATCTCGGATGGAAAGGTCGCGACCATATCAAAACCTATAAACCGGGATTGTCCATATTCCGCAGCCATATCCAATAACCAAGTTCCCGGTCCGCAACTAATTGATATTGGAATGTTCGATTCTTTTTTAGTCAAGCTTTCAAAGCATATTTAAGATGAAAATAGGTTAATTATGAAATTTGATAATTACCCTACATCCAACACTTTGCATCCATTCTCCAACATTTGTTTAACGGGCGAACTAAAGTTTCTTTGCCAAACGTGGCGAAACAGAAAATGCTGAATTTGCAATCGATCGCATTCTTCGTCATCCACGGGCAACGCATAAGATGAACCGTCCATGTCAAAGTACTTGCGACCATTTATAAATCTGTAAAAACCTTTGTTGTTGCACTTGACGTTTTTATTACAATTATTAATGGTAGAGACGGTACCGGAGGGTGATATTGAGGAACGATTTCTCTCCTTGCGAGATTTTGTCATAAGATTTCCCATCGTGTTTAATATGTTTAGTTTTTTTTTCTTTTTTTGTAAAAAATATAAATCTTTTTTGGGGCAAAGCATAAAAATTGAATAGTTAGGGGCATGGTGGGCTAAAGCTCGTTTTTATATATATTATGACATTCTTTCAAATTTCATGTAAATATTTCATGTAAATCAATCTACACGCCCAGAAGGTCTAGAACAAGGCCAGGCCACACGTTGCAATAAAAGTAAATAATTTTGATATAATGAAATATAAATAAATTTTTTTCCCTGTTTTATCTTTTTTTTCCCACTCAATAAAAAAAAAAAAAAAAAATTTCGGAAAAGCTTGTTCCTATAAATTATTTTTTATTACTTAGACAACTTTAAAAAAAAGAAAAAAAAAATATTTTTTACTTTATTCCGCAGTAAACGAAAGGAATGTGGCACATGGTTTCCATGCATGAAAAATCTTTTAGAGCGATTGACGTAGTGGAAACCAAAAAAAAACAACAACGTGCTTGGGTAGATCAAAACAAAAAGAAAATTTTGTGGCTTAATGTTTTTTGAAATTCTCTTAACAAATTTAAACAACGATCATTCCAAGTCGATGCATGAAGCGCCTCAGATTGTGTAATCAGGTATGTAATTTTGGTTAGAAGGCTAATTATCATTGTGAAATCAAAATAAGCAAACATCAAAGAACACTTTTCTTTCTGGTTATGCATGAATGAATTATTTCCTTAAATGGATCGTGAAACTCTCGCTCAAAAAAAAAAGATTAAATAATGAGCTAAAACCAGTTAATTACCGCTTATATAACTTCTTAGTCATTATATTCATTACTAGATTCCTTATGTAACATTGTATGGGAGTGTGAGAGGTTTGATTGATGCAAGAGATAATTGAATTTCAAACAAAAGTTACTTGAATAACGATAATATGACTTAAATAAGAAGCGATATCCTGATACCTTATAAAGTAACAGTTATCATGAATAATCTTGTGTGTACAATTTGTATTAAAAAAAAAAAAAAAAGATTTATCATGCAACTTTTTCACTTGAACATTTTTACTCTCCATTGATGTATTATCTCGTCGAATTCTAATGCGATTTGTGGTTTTAAAGGGTTAAATGAAAGACACAAACCGGTTATTTACTGATTACTCCATGATAAGGCAGCATCCAGTTATTAATGTATTTCGTAATTTTATAAACCATCCTATCCTTAATTATTTTTTTTTTTATTTTTTTTCTTTATTCATTATAATCCTACCTTTTTTTCACAAGAAAAAAAAATAAAAGGTACTGGTTTGTCATTATTAAATAGTCTAAAAAAAAACAAAGTTATGCGATTTCTCTCATCTCATTACTGTTTAAAGCTTAAGGGATTTTGTGTAATGCATATTTCTCAATTCTTTCCCTCTTTCAGCGTTTCTTTTATTTAAAGTTTAAAATAAATAATCAGTTTTACCGTAAAATCCTCTTTCATGCATAACTGGAGCGTTACAGTAAGTTTCCCGAATTTTTTGTTGTACGTACAACGGTCTGAGCTTTTGCAATGAAGAAATAAGGAAACTCTGCCACATAGGTCTAGATTATTTTTTTTCCTCTCAATGAAACTCTTTGAGAAAAACAAGCCAAATGAAAGGAAAAAAAGTTCACGATCTACAGTGCTTGATTTCACGAACAAGTCATATCAACCACTACAACATTTTTTTTTTTTTTTTTTTTTCAAATGGTTTCAGGAGGGGTTCACGAAAAGAAGGAAATATCGAGCGATCCAGATCTATCAACATTAATAAACAAATATATTAAAATAATTCAAATGTAATGATTATACATCATCAAGATTGGTAAGATATTTTGAATAATTTATAAATTCATAGAACAAACAATAACGCTTCAGGTCAATCATTTTACACATTATCAAAGCACTCGAACAAAGCAAAGCATCTTGGATCTCTGTTTATGTTACGATTGAGAACTTATGCTTGACCTATTACAATTACATTCACATTTAGAAATGAATAGAAATGCTTCAAAAAATGTAAAAAATGTTGATTAGAATAAGAAAACATTTTGTAGAACATAAATTATTAATGAAAATGATCTCGGCAAGGATTACCAAATGGGTTCAGTTTTCCGTTAAATCCTTAATATTGTAAACATTAAACATTAGCAAATACATTGATTATATTATGAATCAACTTATAAAAAAATGAATTTACATCACATGGGATAAACAACAACAAGTCTTGCGAAAATTAAAATCTTATGTTATATTGTATTTTTCATATCACATGAAAAAAGAACAATCATTTGGATTCATATCAACGGAATTTTATATGCATTATTTGATAGTAAGCGAAATTAATTTGCACACAATAATTGAAAAAAAATTATCGATTTGTTTCAGATTGATTCCATCTTAATTTACAAATTTTTGTATTACAGACATTATTTTTATGTTGGGGCATTTATGCCCGAAAGACATAATGCCTCAAAATTTGATCACCATGAAATTATGGCAAAATTAACTTTGGAATGTTTGTGCAAGATTTAGCAAAAGGACAGGCCAATCATGGTTTATATTTTAAAATCCACAAATTTTTGAACATTGGATAACTTTGCCGATTTTAGCAACAAATTGAGGATGAAATTGGTTTAGAACGCGTTATATTTGTAGTGGTAATTATTTTTGGCTTAAATCATCATCATCATCATCCACATAATTTGAAAACAATTGAAAATGGGTTTAGATGGCTTCAAGTTTATATAATGGTGGGAAAAAAACTCGTAAATAGAACAATCTGCTTCATTTTATTAAAAGAATGTTTTAATACAATCAATCATATATAGATTGGTCAATAATTTTATATGACGAAATCTCAATCAAAAATATGTGTTTAAAAGAGGTTATATACAGTATATTAGGTTGGTTAATTCTATCCTTAATATTCTTAACCTTATAAGCGTTTAACGTTAATATTCATAATCTGAAAAACACAACTGATAATATTCAGTAATATTATCAAAATTTATGGAAGCTTATATATCAAAATTTTTAATATTCATGTTTTTTCAGGTTAAAAGTTTATAGATAGAATCATTCATAATTTTAAAAATTTAGAAACCAAAGTTATAGCGGAGTTGGAGTAACTAAAATAGAAATAGACGGTGGTTAAATGATGGCGGGTAAAATTAATCAGATTTAGGTTTGATCGACATTAATTTCAAGCAGTGCATAATTGGTTCTTCCCAAATATAGATTATGTAGATTTTGGGCCAAACCTAAATTAAGCTACGGTATTTCTATCAAAATTTTGGATATGCATTTTTTTTTTTATTGACCAAATTGACTGAGAACCAAAATTCCAGATTTCCCTGGCGTTTCTCATTTAATTGTTTAAATATCTGAAAAAAAATCTATATAATATAAATATATATAGACAACGGGTAATTATTTTTGGATTATGGTAGTTTAAATAATTGGCATAATTTTTATGAATATGTAAATTATTGATTAAAATTTTATTTATTACATCGAATCTAAAAGAAAAAAAAATAATGCTTTTTGTTCTTTATTAATTCCTTCATTATTTTATTATAATCTTATCTACTCTTTTATTGGTGAAGATTTAAGATAAATGCTATTAAAAGAAAAATATCAAAATCGCTCTTAATATTTGTGGATGAGAAAGAAGAATGCCAATTATTCAGATTAACTATTGAAACTTGTCTGATAATCTTATAATTAATTCCTTAAACAATATATATATTTATTTATTTATATTATAAACACACGAAGTGCAAGCGCAACAATCATTTGTTAGAATATTCAAATCTCTCAATAGATTACTTCCCACGTAATAATTACAATACAAATATCCTTTCTTCACTTTCTTCACGAATTTCCTGGTTAATTTATATGCTACAATTTACAAAATTGTAAAGATTTTAGAAATCTATTCTATTACAATTCTTGAAAAGAATTTTTTCTAAGTTATTAGGAAGCTTCCCAATTTGAGATTACAGTCAGAACTCGATTTAACGATCCTTCCCGGTTTATAATAAAAATTTTTGAAAAAAAATCGTTTTATAAATTTGATATAACGATTTATTTATGTTTTAATATAGAACAAAAAATTTTAAGAAACTCGTTTAAACGAGAATTCATCAAGTGATCGTTATATCAAGAGTTCGTTATAGCGAGTTCTGACTGTATTTACGTATACAAAGAGAATATCATTTAGGAAAAAATTACAGCAAAGGGCATTGTTTAGCGGAACAATCGGTTTGTAAATTTTAAATCAAACTGGCCTACCTTTAGCTTAAAGATAATATCCGTGATCAATGTAAATGTAAATAATATAAATAACGATTTTAGAATTTCGGAACTATATTTATTGAGCCTACTTAATAACTTTATACATCTCCCGGATTCCGTTTATCATCCCTGCTTCTCTACATTCGAATAAAGATATGAAATAAATCGCTCAATTTCTGGAAAAATCTATATATTTAAGAAAACAATATTATCGCATTAAGTGGAGATATATCAGATCAGACAAACTAAATAAAAAAAAATATTTATATTTAGATAAGTACAATAGTAATTTCATTCAGAATAATAATAACAGGATTTTGACGGATTAGTTGTTGAATCAAATGGTTAGAGTTATATCTTAATTTAGAAAGTTTAATATGAGAATGCATTTAAACATTTAATCCAATTACAAATACATCATCTTGCTTCTCATGACATGAGAACCTTTTTAAAATACAAGTATTTAGTTATTTAAGAGTAAGAGAACTTTTATCGAGATCTCATTGATTGATTTTCAATTAATAATTTAAAAACATTAATGATAATTCTTTATTAATATAAATATAATAAAAACAAAAATAGCAAAAATTTCGGTTTAAGGAGTAATGATAGTTAAATTTATGGATATTTAATAATTTTAATAAATTATTCTTCATCTCCGGAAATTCATCTGCTTTCCATTCACCATCTTTTATTAACTCATTAACCTTTCTATGCGTTTCTTTAACATCAGCATAATAATATCTATAAAATAAAATTATATGAATTGGAAAATTGCAATGACAATTGTAAAATGTATAAAATAAGACACACATCACATCAGGAAACCATGACTTCCAACGTCTCTGATTTGGCAATAAGTAAAACAACTCAATTTCTGCCAAAACCTACATTGTTTAAAATAAGAATATCACTTATTATGATATAATGAAAAAAATATGTAAGTTCTGTTACCTTCGCCTTTTGTATCAAATAGGAAGATCTATTATTATCTTTTTTAATCTCGATATTAATTAACCCGATGAATAAATTCATAAGGTATATGACAACCAAGAAAGAGAATAAAACCATTAATACAACAAGTGTTGAATTCTCTTTATATGGCCAATGTGTTAGAGCACTCGAATCACCTGTAATAAATTAAATTAACTAAAATGATAACTTAAATTTCAAAATAAAAATACTCGTAAACATACCTGTCAGAAATAAAAACATTGCAAAAAGCGCAGTTTTATAGTGACTGAACATGTTTGTATTTTCATCTGGTTTTTGAATAAGATATGGATTACCATAATTATCAGTATAAGAAGTAGTAATTTTCCAAGGATCATAAAAAGATAATAAAATATAGAATGCATGCGCAAAACTAATTAAAATGATCAATAAGACCACCAGGAATGAGATAATTCGTTTTGCAACACCAATAATAATTGCAAAATAAACGCCAAAATACTCAAATGCTCTAAAAAACAGTAAAAATTTAAAATCTAGGAATAGACATGTAAAAGAAAGTAAAGGGACATTTCTATTATCTGATTTAAGCCAAGAAATTGAGGCATATATTGTAAGAAAGTATGCTGTTATATCTATAATAAAAAATTAAAGATTAGTTACATCTTTTCCAGAATAATAAATTGATAGTTATTAATATACCAAATATATTCCAAAAATCATGAATCCACCTAATAGGATTATAAATAAATTGACGAATTTCAAAAGTTAAGTGAATAAATCCAAGAAAAGCAGAAAAATTTAAAAGTGAATTTCTGACTTCTTTCGATTCAATTGTTGCGGCGATACTAAAACATCCAAGTAAGTAATAAATCCCATCCAAATCATTGAATAATAAAGTTTTCCATATGAATTCCACTTGAAATTAATTAATGCTTCTCCATTCCATGTTTTATATATTTCTTCAGTAATTGTTTCTACAAATGGACTAGGCTGTGGTCTAATTAATTCCAATCACCAAACATAGTCATGTGGATAACTAACAAATTTGATATAAGGAATAATTAAAGTAATTGTAGGTTTAGATTTTTTACGAAAAGGTAAAATATTGAGATGAAAAGGGATATAAATACTATTGATAAAATGAAAATTATATAGTAATAATACAAAAATAGGTAAGTAGTAAAGACCAGAAAGGGCTAAAATACCATACAAAGATAATCCAACTATCATTAACCTTGCTATATTTATATTTATATTACTATCAAAAAATTTTGCCATTTGATAAATATTTTTTGTCCAAATAAGAGATCGTGTTAAATTAACTATTTTAAGATTTTCAGAAAATGGAAAAAGTTGTGAAGTGATAATATATTCGATTTTATAATCAGGGGAATCTATTATCATGTTTGTATCCAATGAATATCTCGTAATATATTCGGGATAATATTTCGACAATAATGGCATATTAGTAGTAATAATGCTTAAAAACGGCTTATTGTTTTCTAAATCATCTTTAAAATAATTTAAACATTTTTTATAAATATTATCCATTAATTTTAAATCATTATTCTTAATAATAAATCTTAACAACCTAACACCATGTTTTAAAAAATTTTCTTTATCATTCTTTACGTATGAAATCCATCCATCAACTGGAAATTTTAATTCTTTATCATCAGTACCGAATAAATAACGCCGTAGAAGAGTTTCAATAATCCCATATTTTTTATTAACATGCCAAATGATATGTTGAAAATGATCCAATATCAATTGATCATTTGTATTTAAATGAAAAATAAAAACGCCGATATCTGTTACTATAGCAATATCACTCTTAAATATCTTGCACATGTCTATTTTTATATTTTTATCATATATAGTTTTTTTAATTTCTTCACAAATTAAATCCCATTCATTACTTTTTTTATAAACACGTATTCTGATAATTCCATGAAGATAAGTATAAATATCTAATCGAATATTCCCTAAATTAAATACTTTAGGTACTTGTTTAAATAATTTGGATGCATTAATATTCACATCTGGAATGAAAGGATATTCACTATCTGCTTCATTTCCGAAATATGCTTTCCAACCTTCCGTAAATTCATCATTATAATAATCATCGGATGGATTGTAACACATCATTAATAATCAATACTAAGCTTTGCTAGGCATGATTACCAATTCCTACATATGCATGCATATGGCTCCATCAAGCAACGCACGAAGGAATATCCCCCGCGC